CTTTGGTCATTATAGACAAACTCTGAACCAAATATACCAAAATTTTCAATATTAACCAAATTCATTCCATGCTCAATACCCATCAACACTCCCTCGTTCATACCATAAACACAATCAATATTATTCATGATCCAAAACAATAATATACATGGCTATACCTTAATTACTAAAAATATTCAAACATAAGGATTTTATGTTCATATTATTCTAACCAAGTCGTGTATTTGGAGTTTCGTCCGGCGGGATGTAGTAGCTCTGCCTTGGTCCATTTGGAGTTTCATCGCAAACTCGGTTCCTGGGCAATCTGGATAAAGCACAATTTCAGTCAGGAGACGACTTCAGCGTTTGATTAGGCAAATCATGATTTTTATAATCACACTTACATTACGTCAACGTCATTGGCACCTGGTCTCTGTCTATATTCGGGGGATGAAGTTGGATTGCATGTCGATTCATTGAAGTTGGCTGCTGTGACTTGGTCCGATGTCTACTCTTGGATCCTTTTCACCTCAACTTCTACTTCAGCTACCTACACTTTCCAAGAGTAACAGCTTGAATAACCAAGTCGTGCAAATATATTACTGGAATAGATAATATTATGTCGAACAAAGGACAAACACTGCAAACCTTTTGTTCAAGTTCCAACTTGAGTTTCTCTCCATTTTCTCTTAAACGAACCCGACTACAGCTGGTGCTTTTGCCCTCTCTCTTCTAATTGCTGAAATGGGTTATTTATTATTATAAGTATCACATTAGCAGGTAGCGCATACAGAGATTCATAAAAAGCAGTATCATAAACAATGTGGTGCATAAAAGTTTCGTCTAACTGGAGATTCCTGATGAAATAATTAATTTTTTCTACATGTTTCTTTCATGGAGATTATCAGACCATGACTCATGTGACTCCTATTTGATCATAGCTTACCATTTAAAATATGTAGAAATAAGGAAGCCACCCACGCAGATCCTAAAGTGGGATTGTTCACCTCTTTCTAAAATATATCTCTGGAAACAAACCAACTCTTAGTAAATATATATACAGTCTAAATGAGAAACGTAACTACCATTGGAGGAAAGAAATAGAGAACTTACAGATATTGAGTTGCACTGTTGTCGCCTGTCATATGCTCGACGGAGACAATGTTGACTGCCCTGATTCTGAGCAACACCAGCAGCAGAGATTGAGAAAACCAGAGAAACTTTCACAAACGATTTCCACCGACAACAACGACGCACCAAATTGAAAATTTGTTATATTAAGAAACCATCGTTTATAATCCGGAGATAAATAAATAAAAAGAGAAAAGGAAAGATTGGGAACTCACCGTTAATCTATCAAATGAAACAAATACAGTAAAATAAGGAGGGATGCAGTAGTTTCTGATTGTGCCTGCTGATCACAGAGATAGAGAGAGAGAGAGAGGGGAGTGGGAAGGAGAGAAGGATAAGATAAATTAGAATAGGGAGACATTAGATAGAATCGGAGCTAAGAAAAGGGAATAGATAGATGCAAGAGAGAAAATTAGAATCGAAAAAAAGACAAACATACCACATTCATCGCGACACTGTCCATAAATTCAAGGTTAATAGAATCTCTCCAAGACTCCTCTTTGCTGCCAGCAGAAGTTTCTGAATAAATGCCCACAAGCTTCTTATGTGTTATGGTTCTTTATTCTACCGTAAAGTGCCACAAGATTAAGAAGCCTATTCCGCCACAAAGTTCGCTTTCTCTCCCAGTTACAGCTTTTAAGTTTCTTACCACAGGCAAAGGAACTAGCAAACTGGTTATTATGTGTAGGCTGTAGCTAACCATCTTACCATAGAACTTATTCAGTCATTCATTTGTTTCCATGTAGGAAAGATCAAAACATAGCCAAGAGTTTTCAACATTTCCTAGTGACATTAAAGTTTTTGAAAAACTGATGCTCCTTGAGTAAATCACGAACAGTTCCATTAGGGTCTGTGACAAGCAGTTTACAATGTTTCTCCTGGTTGCAATCAATATATGTTAAGGGGCCAAGCATAATTGCCTTAAAAGGGTGCAAGAATCTCTAACCTTATTGGTCCCAGGGCTAGATACTTTGATCTGGGAACATAGCAGAACAGTGAAACAATGTCTAGCAGCTTCTCATTGGTTTCATAAAGTTTCTTCAATTCTTCATCTGTCCATTCTTTATTCGTATTATCATGGTTGCGTATATCCCTGCAACAACAGAAAATCAAATTATATCAAGATAAAAACTGATTTGACAAACAAATTATTATAACTTATGCTCTTACCTGATTAGTTCATATTGTGCCCTGTACATCTCATCAATAACCTTTATCATGGGACTAATCAACACCCCAAGACCAGTACCACATGCACCTTGATCTTCCCCATTACTTTTATGCATTTCTAAATTCTGACAATTGAGACTGCATACCACCCTGTGCTAACGCATTTAATAATTCATAAATCTGCAGCCTATAAGGCTCGCCAGACCTGATTGCCATAGTTGTAAGGGCTTGAGAAGCAACGACTCGGACCTACAAAAGACCATATCCAAGATTAATTAGAACATGAGCACATTTAATCTTCATTGTCTCAAGGGCTTGAGCTAACTAAAACAACTAAATTGATTGCAGATAGAACTACACTTAAAAATCAACTGAATCATTTAGAATCCTTTAGACAAGAAACAGAGTCTAAAGCATGAGGAGCTCAAATCTATTACAGTCTACAGATTCAAAATCTCAGTCCAGTACTACAATTCCTAAGATTGTATACTGCATGCAGCCACTGGGACTACAATCCCTAAGAAAGTCGAAACTATTACCTATCAAAGAAAGTCGAATCTATAACCTAACAGAGTATGCTTGCGCGCGCGCGAGAGAGAGAGAGAGAGAGAGAGAGAGGGAATCAGAGAATCACCTCTCAACCGGAGCGAGTGCGGAGGGAGAGCGAATCGAATTTCAGCTGGAGCGAGAGCGAGTGCGAGTGTTGAGGGAGGCAACGGAGTGGTGATGGGCAACGGTGGTCGGATGCTCTCTTTCGACCTCTATCTCTCGAGCTCCAGTGGATCTCCAAAACTCTGGCGAAATCAGCAATCAAACAAGAGCCAAAAATTAAAAGGGGAGCAGCGGTTTTCTCGTATCGATAAATGGAACAGGGGCTGAAATTTTGTTTAAGTCTTAGCAAGGGTTCTGGAACCCTGGGAAAGAAGTGTTGCTACTGAAAAATGTAAAAGAGGAAATAGGGGTTTTCTAGTATGGGACTGAAATTTGGTTTAAGAGTTAGCAAGGGTTATAGAACCCTTACAAATAACCGTTGTTATAAAATATTCCGGAAAAATTAGCAAGGGTTGTCTAACCCTTGCTATGGAACCCTTGGTATAAGTCCTTTTTCTTGTAGTGTTTGTCCGGCGAAAATGGATGATGGATTGGAGACGCAGGTATTAATTAGGAGGGGGAGAGAGGGAGGAGAGGAGAGGAGGAGAAATCAAAAATATATTTGATTATTTTTCACCTTACATTATTTTTTAATAAAATATGCCACATCAACTGTTGTTGTTAGGCCAGTCACCTTGTTAGATAACACCGTTAAAGTATTGGACTGAAGTGGCTATAAGTGGAATTTGATTATATATTATTGACACAAACACGAAACTTTTGGCTATACAAGTGTATTGATTGGATCAGACGATGTCCCTATTTCTCAATTTTGGTTAATGGAGAGCCATGTGGATTCTTTGTAGGAACACGACAAGATGATTCTCTATCTCCCATATTATTTATCTTAGTCATGAACATTTTATCCGATCCTTAATGTTGGAGAAGGCTGTAGAGGCACGTTACGTTACTGATTTGGGTTTTGGTGGGATGTGGTGTGGTGTGGGAAATTGGCCGACACTTTACTTAGGTCTTCCCCTGGGGTGGAGCTAGCCCTTTCATTTCTCTACAGGAATTTGGGATGGAATTCTCGCCACGGTGCAACGCATATTAATTAGAGGGATGGAAGGCACAACTCTTGTCATTTGGCGGTCGATAAGTGCTTCAATTCTGAAGAGTGCTCTCGTTGCTTTGCCAATCTTTTACGTACTTTTCCTTATTCAAGGCTCCGGCGCGGCTTCAGTTATTGAGACACTTGAGAAGAATTTACGGAGGAGCTTCTTGTGGTCTGGTGCGGGTGATCAGAGGCGATTGCATATATATGATTCGATGGGCCTTAGTCAAGGCGCTAGCTAGTGGAGGAATGGCGGGGTCTAGGAGTGATGGATTTGCGATCGATGAATAGTTAACTTGGTGTTGCGTACTTACACTATGTTTGGGAAGGGGTGCACGTTTGGGGGTAAACACAAGTTCCAAGGTGTTTACCCCCGTTTGGTTATTTTGTAACAGTAGGGGTGCAAAACGTGAGCGTAAATTCACTGTTTCGGCTTACCCCCCAAATTGGGGTGCAAGGGAAGGAAGGAAGGGAGGGGGAAGGGGAGGAGGGGAATTATGAATTTTTAATTAGATTATAATTACATAATAATTATTATTATTAATTTTTTCTTATATCTATATTAGTGTAGAAGTTGTTTGGGGTTGACCGTTTGACTCAGAGAGCAAGTTTGTCAATGTTCGCCTCGTCAAATCGATATCTCTTAGTTGACCCGAATTTGCATTGAAAATTAGAGATAAGAAGCGTTTGTTGAAAAGATAGAGAGGAACAGTTTAGTTAACTCGATTTACTTTAATAAGTAGTTAAAACTTACAGATTCGAACGTGTTTGACTAAGTTTGACCATATTCAATTTAAAGTTAGGCACGAGAACCCCCTTAGGATGACCAGTTACGAGTTGGATTTCGAGTTTCGATGTTGCTCGACCAATGGTTATTATTGTTGTTATAAATAATTATATTTGAGCATTATTATATAATAATTATTTTTATTTTTATTTATTATTATATATTGAATTTTCATGTTATTATTTTGTGATAATATTTTATAAATTGATAAATCTATTTTATAATAATATAATTACTTACTTTTTACTCTATTTGCACCCCTCTACTTTTTCATCCAAACAACAATTTACCCTTCCACTTACACTCTCCACCAAGTTGCACCCCCCAACAATTTACCCCTCAACTTGCACCCCCCTCGAACTTGCACCCCCCTTGTTGCCAAACATAGTGTTAAGGAGGTCGAGACTTAATTTCTGGCGCTTTGCCTATGCGGATTCTGCTTGCTGGAGGAGGATGAGTGTCATTTTGGCATGATATATAGTTGGAATCCGGGGGTTCGATTAATTGATCGAGAAGTTCCCATGCACGTGTGGCAGCAGCGACCACTTTCTGCATTCTATTCCCTTGATGTTGTCAAGATGATGAAGCTGAGATTCATGAAGGTGAAGCACTGATGCAGAGCTGAATTGGAATCGAAGATGCAGAGCAGAACTGGAAATGAAGAACAGCTGAAGAACGCGTTTCGGACTCGAAGACGATTCGTTGTATGGGAAACGTTTCGAGCCTTCGTCCGGAACGCGTCGTCGTTTTACTTGTAAGTGGAGTTGGTTCCACATTAGCTTATTAGCATTCACCACGTGTCAGGGTGATTTTGTTTTTTCGTTTTATTTACCGTTGGAGAACACTAAAACTTGAAACCCTTTATAAAGGAATCAACCCTGCATCTGTTTGGCTTTGCAGGTTTTCGATCAACCTTTGCCTTCCATACATTTTCTACATGGTATCAGAGTCTCAGATCTGATCCTCGACAACAATGGCTACCGGCTCTCCTTCTACTCCTCCTAACAGTGGAACGTCTACTGGTGGAGGTTTTCAGTTCGGCAGCTTCAACGAGGATCAGACTCAGGCTGGCAGAGGTGAGATCCAGTTTGGCAACCCTTATTATCTTAATCCCAACGAGAATCTGTCTCAGTCGCTCGTCGCTGAGCTTTTGGATGGTACTAACTATTCTATGTGGAGCCGATCTATGCATATGGCGTTGAAAACCAAGCACAAGCTGGGTTTCATTGATGGGTCTATCCCTGCTCCGCCAGCTGGTAGTGCTCATTTCCATCTCTGGGATGGTTGTAACACTGTTGTTATTTGTTGGATTGTCAATTCCTTGAAGAAGGAAATTGCTCGTAGTGTTCTGAATCACGAGAATGCTCGTGTTCTGTGGGATGAATTGAAGAGACGATTTGGGCAACCTAATGCTTTGCGCATTATCAATTTGGAGGATGACATTCATGCTTGCAAACAGGGTGATCGAACCATTACTCAGTACTACACTGAGATTAAAGGATTATGGGAGGATTATCTGCAGTTTTCCCCTATTGTTCCCTGTCCTTGTGCTCCTAATAATCATGTTCCTTGCCCTGTTGTAGTCGCTTTTCAAACTAAGCAAGAAACTGATTATCTGATTCGTTTCTTAAGAGGGCTTAATAAGGAGTATGAGGTTGTGAAGACACAACTACTCATGATGAAACCTTTACCCACTGTTACCGCTGCTATTGATGATTTGCTTTTACATGAACAAAAGCTGAAAGGGGATCAGACTAAGTCTAAGAACAGTCAATCTATTGCTCTTGATGTTGGTAATCAGTATGGTAGGGATCAGTCAAAAGCATGGTAAAGGAAACCGTACCGGAGGTCATACCGGATCCGTCAGCGGTAGGGTATTTTGCGGTACGACCGTGGTTCAATCGTTGTGTACCGGCAAAATACCGTTTTTGTAATTAAAAAATATTTCTTGGTTAAAAAATATTGAACTATAAACTTTCTTGTTGATTTGCCCAAAACAACTAACTAAAGCTTGGCCCATGAAAACCTACGGATAAAAAGGAGTAAAGGACTTTGCACTGGCCCAACTAATTGAACCTAATGGAGCCCAAACTCAGCTGTCAACCCTAAGGCCTAAACGAATAAACCTAAGCTATTCGCCGACTTCTTGAGCAAGGGAGGGAGAGGCAGACCGGCTGACTTGAGGAGGAGCAGAGAGGAGCAGCGGACGGCTCGCCGACTGAGGAGGAGCGGAGAGGAGCGGCGCGCTGGCTGAGGAGGAGCAGCGGCGGAGCGCAGGTGGCTTCGCCACTCGAGGATCGCTGGTCGGCGGTTGCCGGAGGAGAAGAGGAGGAGCGACAGCCGTGACGGGGGGTTCCTGGTCGACAGGCGACGGGGGGTTCATGCCTTCGGCCGATTTCAATTTTTTTTGGCCAAAACAGCGTCGTTCCCTTCCCAGAAGCATACCCCCGGTTAGACCAAAACCGGGCAGTTTTTTGCATTGCGCCGGTTTAACCGTACAAACCGGCCGGCACGATATTCTTGCTACCAATGGTCTATCGTATCGCTCAGGGTCGGATTTCCGGTTTTACCGGTTTAACCTGCCGGTACGATCCGGTTTCCTTTACCATGGTCTAAAGGGAGGCAAGAGGCTGGATCAGGGAAACTCTTTTGCAGATATTGCAAACGAACAGATCACACTATCAAAGACTGCTGGAAGTTAAAGAAGAGGGAACAAGAGAAGGAAGGTTTTTCTGGTTCTGTCTCCACAGATAGTGCAGCCCCATCTTCTGACAGTACTAGTAGCATCTCTGATGGCAGCTCTAGTCCCTCTAAGGGTGTGAATGCCCTCTCCTCTGATGAAATCACTCGCCTCAAATCTCTTCTTCAATTTGGCATGGATACTGGGCCATTGTCTCCAGGTAGCTCACCAAGGATTACCCCTACAGCTTATTCTGTGTCTCAATTCTTACCTGCATTTCCCAATCATGCTGGTAAGTTTGTACTTTCTTCACACAGTTCTGTGGATAAATCAGCCTTGAGAACTATATGGATACTTGACACTGGGGCCTCAGATCATATTACATGCTGTTTAAACCATTTTTCTTCTTATACTGAAATCTTTGATACCTTTGTTTATTTGCCTAATGGTCAACGAGTTCTAGTGAGTCACATAGGAACAGTCCTTCTCCCTTCAGGCCTTACTCTTCATAATGTCCTGCTTGTTCCCAGTTTCACCTTTAATCTCATTTTCATTAGCAAATTGACCACAGACTTACCCTTGTCTTTGCACTTCCACTCTTCTGTCTGTAAAATTCAGGACCTTCAGACCCAGAAGAGCATTGGTTTGGGAAAACAAAGTAGAGGATTATACCTTCTTGATCTTTCCACTCTCTTGCCATTCACTTCAGTTTCCTGCCCTTCTCATCATCAAGCTGCTTCCACCTACAATCTTCAACCACAAGACATTAATCTATGGCACTGGCGCTTAGGTCACCCCAGTAGAGATAGATTTCAACTTCTTATGAAACAACACAATGTAACTCACAATGAATCTGTTTCCCATTGTGAGATCTGTCATTTGTCTAAACAACGCAAACTTCCTTTTCCAGTTAATGATATGACAGCTTGTGAACCTTTCTTTCTTATTCATGTTGATATCTGGGGCCCCTTGTCAGTTAAATCTTATGATGGCTATAGTTACTTCTTGACTATTGTGGATGATTACAGTAGGGCTGTATGGGTTTACTTGATGCATTCTAAGGGTGAAACTCGTGAATTACTGCAAGGTTTTTGTCAGTTGGTTGAGAAACAGTTTGGGAAATCAGTAATAACCATTCGTAGTGATCAAGGACAGGAATTTCACATGTCTGATTACTATAGAACCCATGGCATTGAACACCAAACCTCATGTGTTGAGACTCCTGAGCAGAATGGACGAGTAGAACGTAAACATCAACACATTTTAAATGTGGCTCGTGCCCTGAGATTCCAGTCAGGGGTTCCTTTGAAGTTCTGGAGTGCTTGTATACTTCATTCAGTGTATTTAATTAACAGGTTGCCTACTCCAGTTCTCAAAAACCTTTCTCCTTATCAACTACTCTTCCATAAACCTCCTGATCTCAATGTTTTAAAGGTTTTTGGGTGGCTTTGCTATGCTTCTATTTTGGTTCATGGTCGTACTAAATTCCAAGCCAGATCCTCTCAATGTGTCTTTCTTGGTTTCCCTGCTGGGATTAAGGGTTACACCCTTTTAGACCTTGAAAACAAAAAGGTCTTCATTTCTAGGAATGTTGTCTTTCATGAGACCATTCTTCCTTTTTGAACTACCTCAACTGAATCACCACCTCCTTCTCCTTCCCCTCCCATTTCTCCATCCTTAGCACCTCACAGTATACCAGTTTACCAACCCAATTCTTCTCCAATTGAGGGATCAGGGGAGGCCAGTACTTCCACTTCTACTTCTCCCTCAATTCCTCCTTCTCCTTCAGCAGTCAACCCTTCCAATTCCAATACTCCCTCTGGTCATTCCTCTTTGCCTAGTTCTGCTAATGATAAGTCTGTCTACTTGGAGGATTTTGTTGATGATGCTCCTGAACTAGAGGTACAAGAAGAGTTTGAAGGCAGGCCTATTCGAGCTAATAGAGGCAAGTTGCCAGTTAAATTTAAAGACTACCAGGTTGGTAGTGTTAGCAAGTATCCCATGGAGTAGTATCTGGAATTTGATCAGTTATCTCCAGTTGACAGAAGTTACATCATGAGTGTGTTACATGAGGTTGAACCATGTTCTTATCAAGAAGCAGCAGTTAGTGAGCATTGGAACAGGGCCATGAATGAAGAAACTCAGGCCTTGGAGGAGAACCACACATGGGATGTTGTTGTTCTACCTAAAGGCAAGAGAGCTATAGGTAACAAATGGGTGTTTAAGATCAAAAGAAGACCAGATGGGAGCATTGAAAGGTTTAAGGCAAGGCTGGTAGCCAAAGGTTTCACACAGGTTTATGGTATAGACTTTCTGGATACCTATTCTCCTGTTGCTAAGATTAATACTGTTTAAGCATTACTGGCTGTAGCTGCTAATAAGGGTTGGGTGTTGGATAAGATGGATGTCTCTAATGCATTTCTGCATGGAGACCTTGAAGAAGAAGTATATATGGTGTTGCCACCAGGTGATCCAAGAGCAAATGGACCTGAGAAGCTTGTGTGCAGGTTAAGGAAATCCTTATATGGACTAAAGCAGGCAAGTCGACAGTGGTTTGCAAAATTGACTTCCTCCTTACTGCAACATGGTTTCTCACAGTCTGTTTCAGACTATTCCATGTTTACAAAGTGGGTCCATGGACGTTTTGTGGTATTGCTAGTGTATGTGGATGATATTATAGTGGGAGGAGACATTAAGGAAGATGTTGAGGAAGTTAAGAAGTATCTCAGTAGGAACTTCAAGATCAAGGATCTAGGAGAGTTAAAGTATTTTCTAGGCCTTGAAATTGCTAGAAGCAGTGATGGAATTGCAGTGAATCAACGAAAATACTGCTTAGAGCTGTTTAAAGACACTGGTTATTAGGATGCCAAGCCTTGTGTTTCTCCATTGGATCCAAAAGTCACACTAAGGGCTAAACAGGGTGTTTTACTTGAAGATCCTGAGCAATACAGGAGATTAGTTGGCAGGTTGCATTATCTTACTACTACTAGACCTGATTTAACCTTTCCAATGCAGCAGCTCAGTCAATTCCAGAAAGAACCTTATACAGGACATTTGCAAGCTGCTTTTAGAGTCCTCAGATACATTAAAGGGTCACCAAATCAGGGCATCTGTTTCAAGAGTGATTCCACATTCAAGTTGTCAGGTTACAGTGATTCTGACTGGGCTAGTTGTCCAGATTCGAGAAGGTCAGTTAGTGGGTACTGCAGCTTCCTTGGAAGTTCGCTTGTTACTTGGAAAGCAAAGAAGCATACCACTGTTTCACAATCTTCCTCAGAAGCTGAATACAGAGCTTTGGCTCAACTAGTGTGTGAATTGCAATGGATGAAGGGTTTACTTGCTGAGTTGAGTGTGAATGTGCAGCTGCCTATCTCCGTGTTTTGTGATAACAAATCGGCAATCCATATTGCTGAGAATCCAGTGTTTCACGAAAGAACGAAACACATTGAAATTGATATTCATGTGACTCGTGAAAGAGTGAAATCTGGATTAAATTACTTTACATTAGAACTGCTGACCAGGTTGCAGACCTATTTACTAAAGCTCTAAGCAGATACAGGATCCGAGAATTGTTGGACAAGCTTGGAGTTAGTACACTCCAGCTTGAGGGAGGCTATCAAGATGATGAAGCTGAGATTCATGAAGGTGAAGCACTGATGCAGAGCTGAATTGGAATCGAAGATGCAGAGCAGAACTAGAAATGAAGAACAGCTGAAGAACGCGTTTCGGACTCGAAGACGATTCGTTGTATGGGAAACGTTTCGAGCCTTCGTTCGGAACGTGTCGTCATTTTACTTGTAAGTGGAGTTGGTTCCACATTAGCTTATTAGCATTCACCACGTGTCAGTGATTTTGTTTTTCCGTTTTATTTATCGTTGGAGCACAGTAAAACTTGAAACCCTTTATAAAGGAATCAACCCTGCAGCTGTTTGGCTTTGCGGGTTTTCAATCAACCTTTGCCTTCCATACATTTTCTACATGGTGGTCCGACAAAGGTTATTTAATTTGTCTGTTAACTTCAAATGGAACTTTCTCGGTAAGCACATGTTATCAAGCTTTGGTGCGAGCTAGATTCACAGCTATGACATACTTTCCAGTTTCCTCGTCGGCTGTTGAGGATATTAATTATTTAGTCAAAAATAATTAATTCATTGTCCTCCAAGTCCCTTGTTTCCTTGTCCTTGTCAAAGAAGGAAACCTGGTTGTCATTAGGGTTTTAACCCTAAGTCTCTCTATATAAGCTTAGCTATGAGATTGTCGTAAGCAAGCCGTCACAATGTAGTCCCTAATAAAATATCAGTCGTGAGCTCGTTCCGAGCTCACCGTGGATTAGTCTCGATCAATCAATCGATCGAGGATACCACGTAAAATCTTGTGTTCTTTCGTTCTTCCGCGTCATCAAATTCTACATCGGCTAGTCTGGAGACCATTTATTCCTTCCAAGATTTCGTACGTGCTTTGTGTGGCAATCATGGCATGGCATGATGCTATTCCGACCGACCGTGGATAATTTGCCAAGGCGCGCGGGGGATTGTTCTCACTAATTGGTGCATTATGTGTAAGCAGAGTAATGAGTCATCAGTGGATCATTTGATATTCAGTTGTCCGCATGCATGCAAGGCGGGTGTGGGATTTCTCTCAGTCTCGTTTGCATTTCTATGGTCCTTTTTCCATGCTGCCATTTCTCTGTATGCTTGGACCGGCCGGAAGTGTGGGTGGTGGAGAGACTAAATGGATGCTTAGGTGTCTTCTTCCTTTTGCTGAATCTTTGGTTGGAGCGGAATACTAGCTAGGATCTTTCGGGATAAGTCCTCACCGGAGAAGAATACATTGATTTCGATGGTTCGATGGTTGCACGTTTATGGCAAAATGGGACGTGATCACACTGGCGGATCCAGAAATTTTATATAGTGGGTGTCCTCTCCTAAAAACTAAATTAATAATTACAAAATATATGATGTTGTACGAATACAACAGAGCACATTAAGTGTTCGTTTTTGGGAAAAATTATAAAATACAATCGTTGTTTAACAACTCGATATATCCTACTAGACAAGGGGAACCCGTGATTGGGTTTAGCTATTAGCTCTTCAAAATAATTGGATATAAGAAATAGCTTTTTACTATTATATTTGAATTTAAAATAAAAGAACAAATGAGTTGTAGTCGAATGAAAAATATGTTTACGTATAGTTGCAGCGACTCAAGTTCAAATCAAATAAACTAACACTTAAATGCTTTTATTTACCCACGCAAACTATTACTGGGAGTTGGATAATCATTTTTTAAAATTTTATCGGTGTCCCGCTACCAATTAATTATTTTTTTATCCACATAAAACTACTATCGGGGAATAAATAACCATGTTCCCAAATTTTAGAGGTATCTCAGGACACCCTCAAACCTCCATGGATCCGCCACTGCATGTGATGATGCACGGTTATGATACCATACCGACTCTTCTTTGTCCTTGGAATTCTGTAATGATTTTGTAATTAGCTATTATCTCCTATCGATGACCTTTTAACTTACAACTTGCTAATGAAAATCACTCACCTTCTTCTTAAAAAAAAAACATTGAATTGATACCTAGGTTATACGACACTTTACACAATTACACGTACATTTGAACCAGAGGTAAGACAACCCTAGAGACCGAAGAATTTAATATTTTCCAAATAATCCAAAAATCTTAGTTCAATGATATGATTCTTTTTTTCTCTTCTGTACCGACTACCAAGACATTAAGTTCCCCTGAATGTGAAGCAAATGAATCGCCGGCCGTCTACTATCGAAGAACCAAAAGCATGCAGGCCGGAGTTGGAACTTGGAAGGCGTTATGTACTTCCAAGCCAAATCACAATGACTTTATGATGATGAAGAAAGAACATTAATAATGCGAGGGGAAATGCGGAGCGTCTTCTATTGCTCCGCCAAGTACCCAAGCTCCACCGCAGCGTCGAGCTCTTGGATGACGTGTACATGAACCCTCCACCCACCGCATATTGGTTGAAGTATTGTCAAGGTTCTTGGGTAGTTTGATATGTATCTTTGCTTATTTTCTCTGCAATTGATGATGGCAGGTTGCGATAATAGCAACAAACTTTATGTACTTTTAATTCGATTAACAATTATTAGCCTTTTGCTTTTTTATCAAACTTATGATAAACTTGGTTCGACGGTTGAAGGGAGGGAACCTTGACCTCTGCTCAGACCATCCACCTGTCCATTTAATTTATCCATAGAGTATTCATGATCAACCACTGACTTTTTATGCTTCTTCATCTTTGGATGATGGAGATTTTGATTCTTTCATTCACAAGTTTGTTGCTCTCAACTATCATCATAATTGTTTGACCAACCTCGACGTAAATCTGATGCTCAAAATGGGTTTAAAATGTTTTGCAGGGGAGTTGAACAGAGTTAAACCATTACTTCGTGGCCTAAGACAAGTTTGAATCCCTTTGGATCAAAAGCTTCCGCCTTTCTCAAGTTCCAAACTGTGAAGCAGGAAAATGGTAAGCAGATGCATCACTGTCACCCCAAGAGAAGTTTCATAAGGTTGTAATTCGAGGTTTTCACTTGATTTCTGTTAGGAGAATTCACAGCAAAGTCTTTTTGTTTGGGATTGAAAGCCAAGCTCGAGTTTTGAGTTTCCCTTGCTTCAAGACAGAGGTTTAAATTCTTATGTTGTCAATTCTAGATTTAATGTTGCCTAATATATAGCTATTCCTGGCTGTTGCAGGTGTCTGTTTGAATGGGTTTCTAGACAGGTTTCCCATCTCAAACTTCATGTATTATTTGAGTTCATTTATACTTGGAGATTACTCTTCCTCTATTGAGGCACTTGCTTTACATTCTCTTTCTTTATTGCAAGGAACATGCTGGTTTGATTTTCGAATAGCCTTCTTGCTGAGAAGGAATTAGGGTTTGTATTTACATTAAAAGAGACCAAAGGATACTTGTGATCAGATTGATAATATCTTATTCTATTATGTTAATCACTCTCCCTTTATTAATTTCCCCTTTGTTTGTTTTTTTGGTGTAAACAGACTGTAAAATTGCTTTCTGCTTTCTATGAGATTACCATTATTTATATTTGTGTTGTTGGAAACTCAGTTTCTGCTATTTAGGAAAAACTTCAGCCTCAAATTATGTGTGTTACTTATGATGCAATTGATGCCTTCAAGGGGTGTAGTTGGAAATTGAATTGGGTATCATTATAGTTTATCACATCATACGCTTAAGAGAAACAAAATAGATATTATACAGTTACAGTCCTGATTTTAGCCACCTATGTCGTCAACTATGTGTTGGTCGTTTTTTTTTTTCAAACAATATCATGGAAATCATGTGGAATGCAAGCCATAACTGGTCCTGGAATATAGTTGTTCCACATATTGTTGATTTGCTCTTCCTTTGTAATCCGACATGTAAACTCAGTTTAATTATTTAGACATGTTAATGTATGGGGTTTCTCTTCACACCTCATTGATCGCTTTCTTTGTATGGTGCTTAAAGAACCATGTCTGCATTTCTTCGTGTCAGCTAACGATAATTATGATCAACCGAGGAAACATTTTAGTAGTTTTTGTTCTCTTTTTGACTTGACTAAATTGTAACAATAAAAGCATCAGACATTTGGGAAAAGCTGCTGGTAGGGACGGTCTTCTTTGTTCATCTTCCCTGATGTTTGTTCATTCCAGGAAAGAGTTTACTTGTGACTGACGTGTTTGTTCCTCTTTCTTTGTTCATCTTCCCACTCTTACTATATATTGTTACTGATATGGTTTCATCAAGTGCCAAGTGGTATGAGTTCTCCTTATATGTGAGCTATATGTTGTTGGTCACATGGACCGAAAGATTACGGCAACCAAAACTCATAATTGTGATAATGGCCTTTCAAAACCAGCATAACGTGGTGATGAGAATGCCATAGAGAATGTAACAATTGTGGAAGAAAATGAGCTCATGATTGCCAAAGAACCATAAATTGAAACTCCCAAGTGTATAGAGAATGACGAGATGAAACAAGTCACACCAATTATGAAGGTGAAGAAGACAGTCATTGACCAACTGTTTTTAATCTTTTGTTGTTTGTTTGTCGTCTTCGTTTTTCTCTAATGACGAACAAAAAAATGGTTGTTCAACAATTAGGAATCTGCTGCTGAATAAGAGGATGTGGATTTTTCCAAGTCATAGATTCATAGAGTTCTTAATGTTTACTTGATAATCTTATCTATTGTAGTGCAAGGAAAATTGAAAATAATATAGTAGTAATTTCAAAAAATTTCTAGCATGCTCAAAACTTTTAAACCAGTATCTTTGTTAGCAGGGCAACGATCCTTATGTGCTGTCACCTAAACTGGCAACCATTAGATTATGTTGTTGCAATTTTAGTTCCTGCGGCGTAGCGCGGGTATTGATTCTAGTCAAATTAAAAAACAAAGAACAGATTTTCGACACCTCTACGTCATACTCTGAGTTACAAGCAAAACTCCTGACTCGTGGGTTACTGAGTTCATCATAGATTCAGCTCTACACTGTAGTTTCCCTGTTTCCTTTGCTTCACTGTAACATTAATATCATGTCCCCTGCTGCTACTTTCTTTTCCGGATATTGCAGTACTTTCGATTTTGTAGGCTAGTAGCGATAGAAGATTGCGGGGAGCAACAGCACAGAAATAATAATAACACAACTAGTAGTATTGTTCCTCCTCTGGATCATCATTCCATCGAAAATGACAAGACAAAAGTCTGAACTTACTCTGTCACTTCACGCAACCTTGACAGGAGTGCTTCAACATTTGCATCTTCTTTGGATTGGCTCTTGGCACGAGCTGCAATTGCGTCAAGAATTGCCCACTCCTTCACGAGATATACATTCGTCGGAACTTGCTTCGAGTGCAGAGTTGCCTTCAACAACTCCAGTGCCTGCACGCATCAATCCAACAATGTTAAAAGTTCCAAGCCTAGTGTTAGAAATGGAACAAAATTTTTATGGTTACCGATCTGGCTGAGTCACCACGGATTCACATCAACAACTAGTACTAAGAGAACAAAACCATTATGATCATTTATAAACGGATTCTTACCTCAGGATGTCCAAACTCAACCTCTTCCTCTACTAGCACGGCGAGGTCGTTGCAACCAAGCTTGTTGAGCAGAGTGAGACCAGATACGACGGACAATCGACTCACCTTGAGATCATCCATCACCATGAAGGTACTCTGTTCCTTCACAAGCCCGCCTTCGGACGACAATCTATGTTGTAATCTACCCAAGGTGGAAGCAGCAGCAGGGGAAGGCTGTGGCAACAAGAGAGGCGTGTTGGTGGTGGCACAAAATGGCTGCTTCAGATCTCTCATGCTCTGGTAAATGTTGCCCAGAGATCCCACCATGGATTCCTTCGAGATGATTTCGATGATCTGGCTGACGGGTAAGGAGAGGAGGTTGAATAAGAATTCCACAAAGTTTTCCCCACATTCAGCAAAAATCACCTTGTTGGCCTTCTTGTCCACCAGCAGCTTCAGCTTCATCTTCCTTTCTGCTGCGGCCGCCATTGTCAAGCAACTGCCTTTTGGTTTGGACAAGTGAAGGAGAGAGATTAGTCAAGATTTTACGTTTTCGTAAAGACAGTAAAGAGAGTAGTAAATCACTGCCGTATTTGTAACCCTGTAATAAATTGTTCATTCATGGAGGGAAAGTTTTTTATTTTTCTGTGCTCTTCGAATTTCCAGCCGAATCAAATCAGATCGAATCAGGAGGGATCAAATATAACCAAATTTGGTTTGGATTCCATTGATCTCGTTCTATCCGATTCAGTTTCATTCTGAAGTCTGAACCCGATACGGATTCAAAAAACCAGCTGCTGGAGTTCATACTATTTCCAGATACCTTGCCCTTCAAAAAACCAGCTGGAGTTCATACTAGCGAGTTAAAGTACACTGATTCATCGGTGATAGAGCAGCCACGTATATCTCACCATTCTCTCTTTCTATTATTCTGTGTCCTAGTCTACAGCCACTATGTTTTGGCTTTCCCTTAGGAATAGGCTGTTAGCAACAGTCTAGAACCACTATATATATGTACAGATATTGATCAATAGAAATCATTTCTCCCATTACATTTCATGGTATCAGAGCATCAGTAAACTCCAACGAGTTCTGTGCCCTTCCTTTTTACTTCCCTTATTTTTTCTGCCTCTGTTTTTCTGCTGCTTCACCATGTCGACAACTTCCACAACCTCTTCTTCTTCTTCTCCCTCGTCTTCTTCCCCTGCTGCTACCTCTCTCTTTTTACCCTCCAATCCCCAACTCTCTGTGAAATTGAATCCGACAAATTACCTTCTATGGAAGGCCCAGCTTCTACCCTTTCTTTGATGTCATCGCCTCATTGGCCACATTGACGGCACTCTTTCTGCGCCACCAGAGACGATTGACAATCAACCAAATCCTGCCTATCAGACCTGGTATGAACGTGATCAGACGGCTTTGGTGTGGATCAATTTGTCCTTGACCGAGGCGGTTATGCCCAACATCGTCAATAAGATCACAGCCAAAGCTACTTGGGATACGCTGGAGCGCGTCTATGGTTCTGGCTCGGCGGTCATTATTGGCCAACTTCGCAAGCAGCTAACTCGCATCCAACGCGGGACAGATTCCGCCCACGACTATCTCCAGCGTGCCAAGACTCTCTTCGACAAAATGGTGGCTCTGGGTGCTACCATTACTGAGACGGAGCTGGTCACCGCCGTGATGGACGGCTTGGACGAAGAGTATCGTCCATTTACCTGGGATCTGGAAGCTAGGCTCGAGCCGGTCGCCTTTGAAGATCTTAGCAGTTTCCTGCTTAGCGAGGAGATGCAACTTCGACGCTTTCAATCTGTTGCAGGTGGCGCTGTCGGACCCCAAGCATTTTTTGTCGGCGGATACAACTTCAGGGGAGGAAGGGGGCGTCCCAGCCCTCGTGGACGTGGCGGCCGTGGCAGTCGCTTTGCAGGCCGAGGCTCACTAGGCCCAATTCGGCCTTTTTATTCCTCTAACCCAAATAAAATGTTTGAGCACCTTTCTGCAGGTATATTAGGTTCTAGACCCTCTGGCCCAAAACCAATGTATTGTCACAATTGTGGGGGAAGAGGACACATAAGGCCTCATTGTCCAAGCCCATTAATTCCGAACTAGCCCACCCATTCCCCTAGCCCTGCTTCTCATCTTGTTCACTCGTCCCACGCCGCCCACAACTCCCAACAATGGCTCCTTGATTCTGGTGCCAATCATCATCTTACTTCCGATCTGGATAATCGGGCGCATCATTCTGAATATAATGGTACCGATCACGTAAACTTTGACAATGGTAATAATCTTCCCATTTCTCATTTTGGTTCCTCCAATGTCACTCTTTCTGATAATTCTTATGTTCTTTATAATATTTTTTCGTGTCAAGGATGCTCCACATAATCTTCTTTCCGTAAGCTCTTTTACCCGTTCTAATCCTATCTCAATTGAATTTTTTTATTCTTATTTTGTGATTAAGGACCGCCGCACGAAGGATGAAATTTATCGCTGGGTGTTTGCACTGAAGACTCATCCGGACGGCTCAATTGAGCGCTACAAGGCAAGCTTAGTTGCTCGCGGGTTCCAGAAAATTCCAGGGGTGGACTTCTCTCGGACGTTTAGTCCTGTTCTCAAGCCGGCAACCCTGCGCCTCATTCTAGGTATTGCAGTCTCTCGCTCTTGGCCTTTGCATCAAATTGACATAGCGTTTCTCCATGGCAATCTTCCAGAAGAGGTCTATATGCAGCAGCCGGTTGGTTTTGTTGATCCTGACAGACCAGACTATGTTTGTCGACTCCGGAAATCCATTTATGGGATGCATCAGCCGCCAAGGGTCTGGTTTCAATGTTTGTCCTCGGCATTAATTGAATTTGGCTTCAGACCATCCAAGACGGATCCGTCCTTATTTATTTATCAGCAAGGAGCAGCCACAGTGTACATGTTGGTCTACGTTGACGATATTGTGATCACAGGTTCGGATTCCGCCACTATTCAGCGCCTAATGGCCTTTCTTCGCTCACGTTTTGCTCTTCGTGATCTGGGTACCTTGTCATATTTCCTCGGCCTTGAGGTCCATCATACATCTACTGGTCTCATTCTCAGTCAACGACGCTATATTCATGAGCTTCTTCAACGGGCTGGTATGTTTGAAGCCAAGTCTATTTCTACACCTTGTACTGCGAATCAGCTTCAACAAAGTGCCATGGATACCTCTTATGCCTTCTCCAATCCGAGTTTGTATCGAAGCATTATGGGTGGTCTTCAATATCTCAGCTTCACGCGTCCGGATATTTCTTTCTCTGTCAATCATATCTCCCAGTTTCAGCAAGCTCCTATGGAAGTTCACTGGTCAGCCGTGAAGCGCATACTTCGTTACCTACAAGGAACCATGAATCAAGGCCTAGAATTTTGTCGTTCCTCCTCTCCGATGCTTCATGGATACTCTGATGCGTCCTTTGCCTCCTGTCCACAGGATCGCAAATCTGTTACTGGGTTTGCTGTTTTTTATGGTGGTAATTTGGTTTCTTGGTCCACCCGCAAACAGAAGGCAGTCGCACGCTCCTCCACCGAGTCTGAATATCGGGCGCTGGCTACTTTGGCCTCCGAGGTTATTTGGCTTCAGGCTCTGCTTACAGAACTCGGCTGCCCCTTACCCACGTCACCGGTTCTCTGGTGTGACAACTTAGGTGCAACGTACTTGACTCATAATCCCGTGTTTCACTCCCGTTCTAAGCATCTCGAGATTGATTTTCATTTTGTTCGTGATCGGGTTAACAAGAGTCAGCTACATGTTCGTTATTTACCAGCCACGGATCTGTTGGCGGATGTGCTTACCAAACCTCTCTCTCGCCTGCCAGTTCGTACCTTTGTCTCCAATTTTCACCTCTCCGAGGTTTCACTTGCGGGGGCGTGATAGAGCAGCCACGTATATCTCACCATTCTCTCATTCTGTTATTCTGTTTCCTAGTCTACAGCCACTCTGTTTTGGCTTTCCCTTAGGAATAGACTGTTAGCAAGTGCCTAGAACCACTATATATATGTACAGATATTGATCAATAGAAATCAGTTCTCCCATTACATTTCAATCGGGTCACCGACGACTTGTCCGAGTTTATCATTGCTCTATTTCTGTTAGTCATTACACTTTAGTTTCCCTGTTTCGTTTCCTGCTCTACAACATCATCGATCATGCTGGCTGGCACCTGTTACTTTCTTTTCCAGAATATTGCAGTGCTTTTGATTTCGTAGTAGATAGAAACATAGAAGAGAAACAGCACAGAAATATAACACAACCAATATTGTTCCTCTATTTGAATCATTCCATCAAAATGACAAGACGAAGTCTAGACTTACTCTTCCACTTCATGCATACCCTAACCTTGACAGGAGTGCTTGAACATCCACATCTTATTTGAATTGGCTCTTGGCACGAACGGCAATGGCGTCAATACGTGTTCACTCCTTCACGAGATATACATTCGTCAAAACTCGCTTTGAGTGTAGAGATGCCTTCAACAACTCCCGAGCCTGCGATCAATCCAACAATGTTAAAGTTCCAAACTTTACATGCTTATTACCGCTAATGTTTCACAAGTTCTAGTCAAATAGTTTCTACCCCACTCGATCGAGTTCAACTATATATAACGTTGTACCAGTGGTTAGACATAAACGATGTCACCCACATGAGCAATCTCGTGGCATCAACATATGCTGAACCCATTTATATCAAGCATAACAACTTATTCTCAGTTGTTTGATAAAAACATAAACTTATCTCATATTTGAAGATATGATGAACCGCCATATCAGCATAAATAACATGTTCGATACAACTACATACATATGGAGTGACAGAAGTGATAATAAAAACAAAGAGAGGTGCCCTAGAACTTATCATTCAGAATTCCAAGACTAGTACAAACAGAACAAAGCATAATGATCATTTATAACTAAATTCTTACCTCAGGATTTCCAAACTCAACCTCTTCCTCTTCTAGCGCGCCAATATCCCTGCAACCAAGCTTGTTGAGCAGAGTGATACCAGAGACCACGGACGACGACGATCGACTCACCTTCAGATCATCCGTCACCGTGAAAGTATTATGTTCCCTCACAAGGCTGCCTCCGCCCAAGAAGGAAGCAAAAGCAGCAGGGGAAGACTGTGGCAACAAAAGAGGCGGGTTGGTGAACAGAGTGGGGCTGAAACCTGGATTTGCGTACCCAAAGGGGTAGGAACAAGATGGCGGCTTCAGATCTTCCCTGCTTTGGTAAATGTTGCCCAGAGATCCCACCAGGGATTCCTTCGAGACGATTTCGACGATCCGGCTGATGGGAAACGAAAGGAGCCTGAATAAGAAATCCACAAAATCGTCCCCGCATTCAGCGAAGATCACCTTGTTGGCTTTCCTGTCCACCAGCAGCTTCAGCTTCATCTTCCTTTCTGCTGCGGCCGCCATTGTTGGAGAGAGTAAGCAACTCTGCCTTTGGGTTGGAAGTAGCCCTGTAATTAAATTGTTAATTCGTTCGAATCTAGTGACGGGAGGAAAGTTGTGATTTTTCCGGATAGATAGTTATTCAGCTGTTCGGTTTGGATCTCATCCGAATTTCTATCCAAGAAAGAAACAGAAGCCAGCCACGAAAAGCACAGGTTGGGCTTCAGCTCGATGACTCGGTTATCAAGTCAAGAAATTTCGGGTCAACTCAGAACCCATACAGAGCTGAAGGATGCAAATTGACAATGTACAAGTTCAGAAACAGTGAATAGAAAAAAGATGTTAAAAGTTTATTTGATCAGCAGCAGCAACAGGGACAAAAAAAAAAGTCTTTTACAGAAATCGAATCTGGGTTTTGGGTACTATCCTTGGGTTTTGTTTCTAATCAGAAAAGCGTCTAATATAACAGTTCTGTAACAAGGGAATATACATGGGCAAGGAAACATGTCTGCTGTCGTTTAAGGAGAGGGCAAATTTCAGCAGCAGTTAACCAAGAGGACAAGCTCCCGCAGCTATACCACTGTACACATCCAACCAGGGCGGCATTAGGCGGTTAGAACAAAGACAGGATATCAACTTGTCGCTGCTGCTGCTTAGCACACCTACAGAAACAGCAGACCACAGAGATATCAAATTCAGAACCGAAGTCCGGCATTCACTAGGCACCTAACAATATCCACCAAAGGCTACTGGCAAGAAACCTAGTCATAGTCTTCTATGGTTCTCTCTATCGGCAGTAAAGTTGAGAAAAAGTCTATACAAGTAGATTTATAATGTTTTAAGAGACTGCCAGCAAAAGCTGCTGAAAATAAATGAATACTAGCGAGTATAGAACCAGAGATAGTTGCGTCAAGGGAGATTTGACACAAGAACTATAGGGGAAATAATGCCTTGTTACCTCATGGTTTTAGCTGCTGGAGTTCAAACTATTTCCAGATACCTTGTCCCTCAAAAAAATTGCATTCCGCAGAAGAAAATTGAATTGCTAGTTATGCTAATTGATTGCTCATCGCCTTCACGATGTGCTACAAGTCACTATCCAGCATAGCAAGAAAATCAGCTGGTTCCTCTCCTTCCTTCACCACTTGCACCTGTGCAATTAAGGCAGAAAGAAGCGGTCCACATGAAATAAAGAGGGGGAAACGAGAAAAGAGCAACAGTACATAAGTGAGAATCAGTTGCAGAACAAGTTCACAAAATTCACCAAGAAACAGGGGAAATCAATATTCAATAACATAAGTAAAGCAGATTTAACCATGTTGCACTGCCAGCCTCGAGAAAGCTTATTCCACTCAGGAAGTCTACAGCTTCGAATCAGCACATCATCATTTTAACAACAGCTACGGAGCAGTTTACTTCACTGCAGTATCATGAATGTGTGTATCTAGGTTTCATGTGCATGAACTCATCAAAGCAGAGTCTATAGATGGCATGACCAACAAATCTGCCTTCAAATGTAGAGGTTACCATTTTAAGTTGTAATATTAAAAACGCTCTCCACTAATGTGTCAAAAGTTTCTATGTTTATGTGCACAGCATCTCAATGGTCATGTCCTTTAGACGGTTCTTAAGGAAGTTACCTTAACTGACCAGGGTGCCAAGCTTATTAAAGTCTTTGGAAGGGTTTACTTTTCATATGCAGTAGAAATTGATGATCTGAGAACTACGTACGGGAGCTTTCATCTCATTTGCACTGTGACTTTCAACTTGGGTCTACTGACTAGGGTGGAAGATTAAAGCAACCCTAACACAAATACAATGATGAGTAACAAATTAGTTGAGATACAGCCATATCATACCTTGATGGGAGCGTCCATTTGAAGTCCAACACGAGTTAAAAAATTACTACCAACCAGATCCCAGTCAATTTCCCGTGCATCCACGTATTCTTGGCTACCTTCTAACTGAATCAAACTCTTACCACAAGTAAAGGACTTTCCTATCCAAAAGTACAGAATCCTCCTTGCATCCCTATCCAATTTTGAAGCTGGGATAAGTACTCCAAATGCTGCATTACTATCCAAACTATCCCTGCTGAATGGTGAAATCCTCTCCAAACAGGGCCAGCTGTATGCAAGAGGTTGTACATAGCCACACTCTGCTGACACTATTTCCTCCCTGGAACTCTCAATTGCTTCACTGTGAGATTGCTTGTGACAAGATTTATCACAATTATTAATGAGGCTGGGTTCCTTGTTATCTAACTTAGTACCATCTTTGCTTGAATGACAACTAGCTGGCAGACTGGCCGCCTTATCAGATGTCGTTGGCAACTTCAAAGATTTTGGCAAGCCACCTCTACGCTCTGCAAGTGAAGGTGAAGACTTTCTGGATGGCGAAGATGCCACCTGAGTTGAAAACTCCGCTCCTTTATCTTGATCTTTAGACTCTAAAACAATCCCTACACTATCTGAAACACACCAAGAGAATCCATTGTTATCTACCCTGGTACCATCTTTGCTTGAACGAGAACCAGCTGGCACACTGGCAGCTTTTTCAGACGTCATTGGCAACTTCGAGGATTTTGACAAGCCACCTCTACGCTCTGCAAGTGAAGGTTTTCTGGATGGTGAAGACGCCACCTGAGAACTCATTTGAGATGGAGCAATTACGCCATGATCATGAGACCCATGACTGTTAAGAGACAGTTGGGTTGATGGTGCAACAGTCAAGTCACAAAAGTTGGACAAAGTAGAAGCCACAGGCAGAGAATATGAAGCTACCGCAGGAGAATCGGGAGAGGACTCAGAGAAGTTTGAGCTAGAGCTAGAGATAGAATCAGAAGAGGTGGTCGAATCTGGAGAGGAGTAAGGAGGTGAAGACGATGACGCTGATGAAGATGAAGATGATGAAGGTGATGATGAATGGACAATCATCATAGAGTCTGAATATACACGAGAGAGAAATATCCTGGGGGCAGAGGCAAACTCTTTCATATCAACAGGGGCAAACTTTCTCCTGAGCATACTCCAGTTACTTTCTCTAGCAGGAAGCAGGGTTCCATTCTCAAATGATGAAACAGGAGGAACAAAACCACCCTTAGTAGCCTTCTGGAAAATCTCATAGTCAGCATTATAAGCATCAACTCGCCTGTCCCCAGGGGAAATCTTAGAAGATTCTGCATCTACTCCATTGCGAGATTTATCCATGAGAGGTAAATAATTTGAAAATGCATCCCAAAAGTAAGCTGGCTCTTCTCCTTCTTTTATTACTATTATTGGACCCTGAGCCCTCTCGTAACGGACAATCTGGCAAACAGCACCTCTTGCATCCCTTTCCATTATGGCTTCACAATTCTTACCAATCCAAAGATATATTGAAGAGGGTATATGAAGTATAAAGGCACCTCTAGAATCAAGAGCAGATGGCACAGGATCATTCAGCATTTTGGGAACCAGATGGAGAGGATCATAAGGCGAATGTGGGGCCATTCTGTACATCCTTAACAATGAACTTGGACTCAGAGGAAAAGCATGAACCCTCTTTTGGCACTGTAATAACTGACAAGCAAAACCCATATTTGGGTCAGCGATTCCTCTTGCTGCCTTAACATATTGAAATGCATCATCAAAACTCTGACCCTCTCTCCACATAAGATATGCTATTACCAATGAAGTGGACCGTGAAACACCTTGACAACAGTGCACAAAAACCCTCCCACCATGTTCCCTGACATCCTCAAAATAATCGAAGACATCATATAGAATGCTTGTTATGTCCTCTGACGGACTATCCTGCAACCACAGTGTCCTATAAGCAAAGTCAGCCTTGAAGTACTCGGGACAAACAAACCCAACGCAATTCAGCACATGGGTAATCCCATTCTGTTTCAAAATCTCCTTATTTTTAGCCACAGCATCTCCTCCAAGATACACATGTGCTGCTACTTTCGAGCATTCTTTATCAAATACAGCAATCCTATCCCTCTTCACTGATCCAGCAGTTCTATCCTGGCTTTTCTCAATTGATGAGAGATCAAGTTTCAATCTATCACCAGTCTTGTTGCCACTGGGAGTTGACGGCATTGGCCACTCGCCTAGATCATCTGAACCAGCTTTAGGCCACTCATCCAAACTCCTCCGGGCAATGGACAACGGCTGCAAAGGAGGCAAGCAGGCCCGTGCTTTACTGTTGTGCTGAGACCGTGGAGTCAAGGGGGCAGGATACCTCCGGGTTTGTCCAACTTCACCACCACCAACATTAGGATCCATGACACGGTCTGTCTGCTCACCTCCTGGATTTTGGAGCCCTGTCCTGGAAGAGGACCAGGATGCTGACCGCCAGAACACTTTGCGCCCACCAGCAGGTGGAATTTGGCACGGCGGTAGAGAATTACTGGGGCCATCCTCTTTTTTCACCATGCCCGCTCACTATTAAGAGGCGAACCAAACGTAAGATTCGAACCAGACCCAGAAATCTGGACCCCTAATACCTCCGGTTATGACTACTCTTTCCAAACTACTGAAGATTCGGCAAGGACGGCCTAACCAGAAGGTGAGAAAAGAAAGTGCATACCAGATCAAGGCTGCCCAACTTTCCCCACAGAGTGTCACTGCAAGGGGAACACGGACCGTTAAACTTCCACCCGAAGGAGAGAAAAATCAATTAAAAAGATATCTCAACATCAATACAAATATTTCGCAGCACAGCCACTGGAAGGCCAAGAAAATGGGATGGACGAAAAAACCTAGCTTTAGACTTTTGAGTCTTTGAATTCAGATTTCAAACAAAAAACCAACTGCAGTTTACCCCCGGACAAGAAACAAGAAAAGGAGCACCGAATCGGAAGGATTCCAAACTTTCATCTAGGGTTCTTCATGAAGCGCAGAACTGTATCGAGCCATAGACAGATATATATATAGAGAGAGAGAGCATGAAGGAAGTGAAGGAATTCGGAGATTTGGAACTTACAGAGAGAGTAGAGACGGTCGAAGAAGCCACGGCGAGAAGAGAAGCAGAGGTGGTGATGAACCGATGAAGCGGGAGATGAAGGAAAGTCGGAGAAGATTTGAGAGGTCAGGCAGAGAGTGAAGAGCTGAGGGAGAAGGAGACGGTGATGAAGGAAAAGAGGGAAAAGGAAAAAAAGGGGCAGTTGCAGTCATTTTCAGTTTCCACTGCCCCTTTTATTTCCCTTCTCTCGTTTCTTTTTACCGCTTTGATTTTACCAAATTAACCCTTTTTTTTTGTTTATTTGCATTTGATATTGGTATGCATATAAGAGAAACAAGTTGATATTGATATTGGTTATTACTCAATTATAAGATTTCTCAAGAACAATTAAGCAAAAATATAGGGCAATAGATCATCTTATCATCATACTTTATCATCGATCCTATTGGACTATGTCCTAATTTAACGGACTTGAGAATAATGAAATTTTATATGTTATGTAAAAGTTATTTTATTAAGTATACCGATGCATGCGACGATGGATATGATCATTCATTTCCTATTTTGATTTCCTGGGTTTTATCTGTATGATATTTGATTAGTCTAGAAAAAATCTTCATCATTTGTAGTAGTGGATCGATGTAACCGTCGATATGACCATCAAATTCTAGTTTTAGTATCAAAGTACTTAAGTTCATTCTAGATTACACCCTTTACAAATTGGTAAAACCTACCATGGTACCTAAATTTTACTGATCCAATGATGGTTGAAGTTATAAAGGTTGTGAGATTTACGAAATTGATAAATATATGTCTGTATTTTTGTTGTCGTATTCACACGGTACAACAAACCGTTTACACTATTTCACCTTAATTATTTTATACATTGAATAATTTTAACTCATTCGAGTATATTTAAAAAAAAATACTCAATATGATCTATCATGCCAATGACTATCAGTAGTACTAGTATGATAGTATTGACATAATTAACTCAAATTTTCACTAGATGTTGTGTCTAAGGTTTCTGACTCGCATTGTGATTGATTATTATTATATTCTTATTTTATTATTGTTATTATATTTCACCCTTTGGATAGAAATGTAAATTAACTTTTCTTTCTTGGGTGGAAAAGGATCCATATATTTAACCTAATTAGAGAAAGCAATTTCCCCCAAACAGTCAACCATGAATAAGAATATCCATGACAACTAGAAAAAATCGAAGTTATTAAAACTTATTCATTTTGCTGCCATATATTGAACTTTTCTTACAATATGAGAAGTTTGAGATGGTAGGTGTGCAATACCAATAAAGAAAATGACATATATAAGTGATTATGAAAAGTAATGTCATAAATAAGTAAAATGGAAAGAAATCAAGCAATTGAAGAATTTTTGTGGTCAAATGTTTGGTTAATAACTTTCCAAATGAAAATCACATTCATGTAAAAAAAATTATCACAAATTTATGATTTTTTTTTTTTTTTTTTTTGCATAGCTCTTTTAACTTTTTTCCAAGATAGATGGAAATACTATCACTTCAATATTTGACCCGGACATGAGGATGGGTTGGAATCGTATGAGGAGCACAATGGTGAATTCATGTTTAATCACGAGCCTGAATTGAACGTCGCATTAGTAATCCTTTGCTCAGCAAGTGTGAAACCATAGGAGTTAATGTAGACATTTTGGAAAATAAAAAATAATGTCCTAAATCATGTAAAGTGATTTGAAGTTTGATGGTCAATTAGTTCATTGAAATGAGGTCGATCAACATGTTAATCATTTAAATCAATCTGATAATATAACAACGCGTATCTACCGATCAATAGTAAAAATCAACTGGCTCTAACTACAAGTAACCATACCAAGTAAGCAATTATCTAAAATCATGATATCTTATCCAAACATTCAAGAAACTTGTTTTGTTACTCTACTCCACATCAAGTAGAATCCACTCTACATTTTAAGTTTTCAAATTACTTTACATATCGTGAATAATAACAACAATTGGAACGAAAATAGACAACTAATTCATTTTCATTTGTGAATTATGTTATGGTAAAAAAAGTGCAACTATATCACGCGCATATGAACTCTAAAATGCGAAAAGTTAATCTGCGAACTTGAAGATTCATTAACAGATACTAACTGATATCCAAAATACATGAACTAGTACCCAAGTACTAAAGTATCTAGAGAGCACCGACTAGTATTCAAGGTTTGCTAACGGATATCCACCATGAATCAACTATTATCCCAAATTCACAAACTAATATCTAGACAACACAGAATAGTTTCCATACAACACATAATTAGTATCCAGATAACACATAAGAGTATCCATATTGAATACTAGTTGGTTTGATTGTGGGTATTAGTTGGTAATTGATTGACTAGATACTAATTATGTGAGTTGGATACTATTTTGTGATGTTTTGAATACTAGTCTGTAGTAGATACTTTAGTAAAATCAGCAAATTTTGATACTAGTTCATACATTTTATATATTAGTTAATATATACTAACAACTTATGCCGTTAGCAGAATAACTCTATTACCAAAATGGCCATCTTTAACTAAATTTCATAAAACAAATGACCTTATCCAAATTAGAGGATCAAACCAATATTAAAAGAGAAAGGAATATGATGAGAGGAGGAAAATTTCCAATAATGAGAATTGAGATTGATAGTGTTTTTCCTTGAGATCATCACAAGCAAAATGGTAGGACCCTTGAAAGTTGAAATCATGGTTAGAAGATGCTGTAGGTATAAAAGTAATTCTAATAAGTTGTGAATTTTTCCGGATATCATAAATAAACAAGAAACTGAGAAAGTCAGAATATTAAGATCCTTAATAATACGAATTCTTTGAAATTTATAGTTTACGGATTGATTACGATTTACAAGTTGTTAACTTGTATATGGATCCTTAGTTTTGTAAATACTTCGCACCCAATTCAAGTAATTTCTCATCAGCCAAACACTGGATTTGAAAGAATCCCACTAAGATGGATTTTGACCACAGTCCATCAATTATTCAATATCCTGTTTCTTCCTGGTCAAAAAAGTCTAGCAGTCAGTGCAACTATTTCCTGGATTAGTAGACAGGTTAGCTCAGTACCAAAATTTGACCCATCAACTCAAATGTCCCACCCACTTGTCACCTTTACTGATTACCAAACCAGACATTTACAGAAAATCCAACACCAGTTAGATGGAATTTAGCAGAGTGGAGCACATAGTTGGGAGTGACAATGGTGATTCAGATGGAAGGTGGGTAAACAAGGTGCAGAAACTGGTTAACCCGATTCGTTAATGAATAAATTACAACAAGAAGAACAAGAAGATGATCTTGAACAAATGGAATTTTCACAAACATTAGAATTGTTGTAGCGATATCCTTTCATAAAATGCACGACGGCTCCACATGGGGTCATTGCAAATAGCATGAACCAGGGCCTGTTGGAGGTTGCCTGGCATATTTGTTATTGACTGGAGCAGCTGCAACTCCACGCCTGTTCAATAGGCATCTGAAGTAGTGCAATCTGGGTAACGCGGTTAGCGTAATGTTCCCAGATATGTCCTCTTTCTTGCTCCATAACCGCTCTGGACAAAGGTTGGATAACATAAATGATGTCAATATAGTTCAAGAATAAGCTGAGTCGAAACTTGAACGCTTCAGGTTCGGGCCATTTTGGTGGGTTAAGACGAAAAATAGTGCATTTTATGAGTTTGCGAGTTTAGGGGTATACCGGCAGCAGCAGCAGCTCGCGGCCAAATTGTTTGCAGGACATCGGAGGTATCAGCAGTCTCGCCCCACATGCAAACTTCTCCACCAATGACAAGCTTTTGCTTCGAGGCGTCATGGATCCCTTCAACTGGATCAGCTGTATAAACATCCTCCCAAGGAACATCCAAGTGGTCAAGGTACCAGAAACCTTGGTTGCTAAATATGCATCTAAAACCTTTGGCAACCGCTGCTGGGCAAACTCCTCCACCCAACCTGTGCCACCCAAACCCAATTTCTTTAGTGATTGAGACTTGAGAGAGTGTTGCCTGAACTCATGCCACAGTTGGAAACTCTTTGCAGTATACAAACAAAACCCACCAATTATGCACTATGGTCTTTGGGTTGAGGGCTGATGGAAATGCATTGAATGTCTCTTCCCTGGGAGAGAGATAGAAGTTGAGATTTAATATGTTAGAACATGGAATCCAACATTATGGAACTACAGAATACAGTGGGATTCAATTGCCTGGGAAATAGGATCTTACCAGTTGACTGGGATCCAACCTTTTGATATTGCTATTTCTTGAGCTTTGAGTACAAAATACTCATATGCACCTTTTGTAGTCATGTTCCGATCCGCAAGCCTACAAATTAGGGGAGTGAACTTTCAAGAAAGTAATGGCATATTGATAAAATGGGAAGTATGCTTCATTCGAATACAATCCAATTGTATAACAGTTGGCTGGAAGTTCAGGAATCTACCATTTCTTAACATGAGGAGTGGAACTCCAGCAATCTGTAAAATGTGAAAACCCCAGTTTGATTCCAGAATCCAAAGTTATTTGACTAACAAAAGGAGATTCAACTACGATAATATTCTTAATGGCAAGCTTGTTTTTTTAGTTTTGATATGTCTTTTTTTCAGTTTGAACGTAAGTCACCACACTAACCTGTGTTAACTTCATCACCACCCAAATGGAAGAGGCCGAAAGGGAAAATTTTCCTCATGTCTAAAATGGCAAAAGTTGTGAGGAAGAACTTTAGTAACGAGATAGAATACAAAAAACACATAGTCCAGAGATGCACACAGCATACAGAGTAGCCAAAATGACAGAACTAGGAACAGTTAGAACGAGAATGCTAAAGATCAGCACATCCAACTAAGGTAGAGAAAAAGGAATAAAAACTTAACCTGACAGCATCCCCGATATCAAATCAAAGGTAAAATTCTTTGTAACATCCAGTGGCTCTCTACATGAGGAAGAAGGCCAAAGATCAGGATACCCGACGCCCCTGCATAATTGGACATTATGAGTTAAACTATTATCCCATTCGGAGCAGACTTATATCAGATAGACTTTTCAGAATAATCAAATGAACATCTGAAAGTTCAGTCCTTTTTCTTCTTCCTCGTAAAACATGTTCAGATTCCTTTCGATGTTAACGCACATGCACTTGGAAACCGTTATGCAGTTTAGTGTCACAACAAAAGGGGTGAACTGTCTAGTGATAAAAATAATTCCATTACCATGATTCTGCATGCCCAGGGACATCTACTTCTGCCATTACGTTGATGCCTGCATCATATGGAAAGACACAATTAGGCAGCAGGAATAATTGTTTCAATATCTCCTTCACAATATATAATTCCAAAAAATTTCAAACTATGGAAATGAGACTCACCTCTGGACTTGGCAAAGCTTCAAGTTTGTCATGGACCAACCAAAAACAGAGAGAGATATCAGCACAAGAACGAGATGAAGAAACAAACTAGGAACAAACGTATAAATACTAAGCATTAGGCCAAAGAGAAATAATTAACATTGGGCGATTTTTTGCTGTCAACAAGTACTTTATACCCAGATCTGTAACTGTTGGAAGCAACTTTTTCCAGAATTTATCTCTTTACTTAGATGGAGTCTGACTTCACCTTTTCCATTCCATTTCCAAGTGACATCGTGAAATTGACATGAACTAGCAGTTTGAATCTTACTTAACAATTTCATATGCATCCTCAACAGTGTAGCGCTCCCAATTCGAATATGAACCCTTCCATAATTTCGGATATGATGGTACTTCGAGAGGAAATGACTGCTCATCTATGATGTGCCAATGCAAGACGTTCTACTGAATGCAATTCCCATCATCAGGATTAGAACAAAGCATGGAAAGTAAAAACCAATTAGTAGATGATGGAAAAAGACAATAGAAGCACAAGCTTCTCTGAGATCCAAATTTCAAATGACAAGCTCAACAATCAGTAGCTTATATCTTACAAATTTAGCATAGGACATGGACTCAATGATTTGCTTGATAACCTCAATCGGCAAATAGTGCCTCGAAGTGTCTGAGATGCGCCAAGAACAAAATATTAGCAACAGACCAGATCATGATAACAACAATTTCTCTAAATTCATCTTCATTTCCTCGACTTACCAATCATCATCCCGCGGTAATTAAACCTTGGTTTGTCTTGAATAAACCATGGAGCCTTGTGTATTTGTACAGACTTCGTTCCATAGTCAAAAACACACAACTGGCTGAAAGTCTGCAAGCCACCACCACCACCACAACAAAAAGTCGCTTGACATGTTGAAGTTCAAGTCCAAACACAGAGATCATATGAATTGCTGGGTACAAAATACTTGGAAAACCAATAGATTTACCTCCAAACCCCGCAACGCCCCGTAGATGGTATTCGCCTGCAGGAGATGAAACACCAAATCAAACCACTAGCACATCCAAAAAGAACTATAAAAGAACAAACAAACTCTACAAAGTTCGACAAAATCTAGGCCAAATATCACTTTCGCAAAGCCATGAAAAGCTCAGCCAAACAAAAGCAGAGAAAGTCCAAATCCATTTTTTTTGTTACCTCGATAGTTGCTTCCCAAACAATGGACTGCCCATCACTCTTCCCTATAAATAGCTTGTAGCTCTCATCCACTCCGAGCGCAAGCTGCATTCCCAAAAAAAAAACCCAGTACCAAAACAAGCTCAGAGTTAAGAGAGCTCGGAGAAAGAAATTCAATTGGTTCCCAAAATCACGGAGGAAAAAAAGCTTTCCCTTACATCTTCGCTCCCTGAATGCACAACGATTTTCAACCCAGCAACATCGTAGCTCGCCGATCGTTTCCCCTTCCGACCACCAGCAGCAAACCTCTCCAACGCCAATGACCGCCTGCCGCCACTGCCGCCGCGCTTGAATATGATCCCCTTGTACCTGTCGAAGGCGTCCTTGATAATCGCCGACTTGCCGCCGTTTCCGTCGGCGACGAGGGCGAGGTCGGGGTCAACGGAGAGGGTCTGCTCGCCGGAATTGAAGTCGGCGGGGAGAGGCCACAGGTAAGTGAGGGGACCGGCGTGAGAGGCTCCGGCGGCTGGGTTCAGCGGGAGAAGTGTGAAGAGGGTGAAGAGGAGGATTGCCAGAGGAGGATTTGGAGCGTCGTGGTTCTTCATCTTGGTAAATGGTGGGTGGGTTTGATCGGAAGAGAAGAGTGGATTGAAGCTATAAAGCAGTGTGTGCTTGTTTGACTAAACAAGATGACAAGCAAAGGGCCAAAGGCTCCATCTCTCTAACGTGGCTGCGGGTCAGGAGGAAGGAAGGAACTATTTACCGGGTCGGGTTTCTGGGTTTCTTTCTCACCTTGGGATATTCATATCATTGAAGAGGGACATTTCTTTTCCTTTTCCAAGCATTGGCAGCAAAAATACTCAAAAATAGAAGCTAGCTTTTATTCATGAAGAAAGATTTTTAGTTTATAAAACCTACCTATTCTTACCAAAAAAAACTAAATTATTTTTACCTTTAATAATAGCTAGTACTTTTCACCAAAAAAAAAATAATAGCTAGTACTATTCATCCACGAAAAAACTTAGTAGTATGCAACGTACCAAACGTCAGTAACGATAAACATACTCACGTCACATGTTGATAAGTGATAAAATGTAATTCTATAATTAACAGATAGTTCTACTACTTAAATGAATCTCATTAATTTGGGTAATAAATGGTTGTTATGGTACAATATCTCCAAGGCGCATATTCGATGACATTTCTTTTCTTGACACACTCGTTTACGATGGAGTTACTTGTACTGTACAATGTTGCATTGTGGTGTCTAACTCGTGAGTTCATGGTGGTTTTTCGTTTTGTGGTGATACTCAACTAATAGTTCAACATGTTCTGACAGGCGATGTGGGAGGAAATTTGGTCGATCTATTCTTCATTTTTCTTGGTTTGGTATTTTGTTTTATTACTAGGTGATTTATCAAGATTATCCATTTAGTTAGCAAAAATGTAATTTTTCATCAATAGTCCCGTCTCCCTAATGTTTATCATGCACATTGTAACTTAGCATTCTCTGAACTATTTCTATGATCCTTTTCTTTTTTAGGGTTGTCTATATTTCCTTATGAGATTGCCTAGCTATGGAAAGATCTTACCATATTTCTTTGGGAATTGATAAACGTCGTCCTTAAAATTACTATTGATCGTCCTAAAAAATAACAAATTTACACTTTTAACCTTTTGTCATCTTTAGCAAACAAACATCACTTTAACTAAAAAAAATGAAAAACACTCAATTTTCCACGCTCTTGAATTCATCGTTGACATTCTCGAGTCGTAATCGTTGGGAATACGTCCGAATCACGAGTAGCGACTCCGACGAGGTAAAAATCCGATTTTTTTTCAAAAAAACCCAAAACCCCTCAACCGAAGCCAATTTTCGGTTGTACCATGGCTCAACCTAAGGCAATTTTCGGTTGTACCATGGACCAACCGAAAATCACCTTTGGTAGCACCATGGCTCAACCTATGGCAATTTTCGGTTGAGCCATGGTGCAACCGAAGGTGATTTTCGGTTGGTCCATGGTACAAACGAAAATTGCCTTAGGTTGAGCCATGGTACAACCGAAAATTGGCTTCGTTGAGGGGTTTCGAAATTTTTTTGGATTTGTTTGGTTTATATCAATAATTTTCTATTCTTTTACTACGATTTATGGTTCGGTCCATAAGATAATTTGTTGGATTTTGGTTTATATTTTTTTAGATTTATGGAAGGGGAGGGATTGTTTGTTTTGTGTTTGATTTTGAAATTCAAAATGGGCAATTCGATATATTACATATTAAGTTAGGACGATGGTTAATAATTTTTAGGACGACCTTTAACCATTCAGATTTCTTTCTATATTTGCTATCTTGATTTTGTATTCTTATAAGAATATTATGATATATGACTTCCTGTGATGTTGCAGAATATTTTAGGCAGGAGATATGACATTGTGGAACGTATGGCGATTATTTGACGATTCTTCAAACAAAAAGAGACGACTTTGTGGTGAAGGAGATACGATTTCCGTCAAGCACGGGGATAGAGATCTCTCAAATCAGAGAATATATAACCAAAACATATAATAATAATAATAATAATAATAATAATAATAATATAGTAATTTAGGTTGCTGATTCGCTACTAAACTAGCAGTCAAGCAACTAATTAAACGTTGCCATCAACAAAGCATATATAGAAGAGGATAATATAATACATGCAGCGCATCATTTGGGTTGGACATCGTCTCTGTAAAAACAACTCATATTAGTGAATAATAATCCTTTTCGTCCCCTCACCGCGCCATCATTTATAAAATAGATTTGAATTTGGGATATTTTTCAGTTGAGTTGAATGCGCTAAATCATTATATGTTGTTGATATTGAGAAGGTTGTTTGAGTTCATCATGTTTTGTTTTCTTTTTAGGTTTTTTAGATTTTCTTAGTTTAATGCGGGGAGAGTAGGGACGGCTCGTCTTATTAGCTTATTGTTGGTAAATAAATGCATATAGACATTAAAGCCTACCTGTTTGGGTTTCGTTTAAACCGAAACCGTCCCGTTATAACACTTTTGGTTTCGGGTTTGCGGTTTCAAATCGAGGGCATGTTAGTGGTTTCGGTTTAACCTGAGAAACCGATAAGAACCCGGAACCCATTAGCCCCAAAGAAACATCGTTTGGTTCCCCTTGGAGAATTTGGTTCGGTTTCGGTTTACTCTAATCGGACCTAAAACCGATAAGGGACTTTTCAGTTTACATAGAATGTTACGTTATATAAATTTAATAAGTGTTATAACGATTTGTAAACATTTCCATATTTCATCGATCAATGTCACTATTATCCATTCATCTCTAGAAAACACAAAACATCGAATTGCTTGGATTTTGTACTCCTCTTAACTACTCAAATACTATATTTAAGCAACAGGCAATTTCGAAACAGAAAGCACAGAAAATTATAAGAGTTGAATTGCTTGGATCCAGGACTACTCTTACCTATAGGTGTCAAAACATGACCCGACCTGAGTAACCCTCCCAACCAACCCGATCCGCGACCCGCCGTAACCCGATTGGACTAAAAGTCAAAGACCCGTAACCCGCCCGACCTACAATCCGCTTGACCCGCAACCCGCTTGACCCGAACCCGATTGACCCGCAACCCGCTTGGCCCGTAACCCGACTAACCCGAACCCGATTAACCCAACCCGAACCCGCCCGATTGGCATGAATAATACTACATAATATATATTTGTGCATAAATATTATATGTAAATAATATATATAAAGTTTACCTGACTTACCCTATTATTTTTTCATCTTTCCCACCAAGAACAAAGGTTTACTTTGTGTTGACAAATGACAACTATCATTATATTGAATCACATAATAGTCTCACATGTCTCGGTAAATTGAATCACATAATACTTTCTGGTCTCTCTGCCTTTTAGTTGAATCAAATAAACAACAAGTTCAAATTGTAACAAATCAATTACGTGGACTAGCTGGCTTATGTGTTGGTCTTTCCCATTTGAGGGACACGGTTCAAAGCCTGGTAGAGACATATTTTTTTAACATGTTTTTGTATATCAACTTATACATAAAATTCACTTAATGTTTTTGTATGTCAACTTAATGACTTATACATAAAATTTACGTATAAAATACTTACGGGTATTATACTTCGTCTCTTAGGTAATGCTATGTTTAATAGTACGTTAATAGTAATAAATATATAAAACTAATTACTTTTATATATAAATCAATATGTAAAATTAGTAAATATAATAATACATAAAATTCACTTAATATATAGCATAGTTAGTAAAATATGGTACGAGAAAGTTACGTATAAAATATGTACGGGTATTATACTTCGTCTCTTAGGTAATGTTATGTTTAATCAGTGGCGGATTCAGAAAATTTTCACAGGGGTGTCCTCTTCAAAAATTAAATTTAATTATATAATAAATTAAATAATTCGTAAATTAAAATTCATATTTTGAAAAAATAATATAAATAAACTCTGTGTCTGCACTGTTCAAAAAAAATCTACATATCCTACTAGACAATACTTCACGAACTTATCACATATTCGATTTCTAACCTTGTTCTTAATGTAGCTCAAAGTAGAAAAGACTCTTTCAACACTTGTCGTGTAACCATAAAATCAATTCAAAATTAAGGGTAGCGTGTACGTAGTTTAATTATTAGGTATTGAAAATAGTTGAGGATAAAGAAATAGCGTTTTATTGTTGCATGATGTTTAAAATAGAATAACAAATGAGTAGCAACATAATTAGAATATGTTTGATAATAGTAGTGTCCTAGGTTGGAATAACACGGACTACCACTTATATTTTGTTAATCATAAGCAAACTATTATCGAGGGTAGGATAATCATTTTTTCAAATGTTAGGGTGTCCCGGATTACCAATTATATTTTGTATACCCATACGAAATTACTACCGGAGGTTGGATAATCGTTTCCCCAAATTTTAGGGGTGTCCCGGGACACCCCTAGAGGCCCATGTATCCGCCCCTGCGTTTAATAGTATGTTAATAGTTATAAATATATAAAACTAATTACTTTTATAAATAAATCAATATGTAAAAATAGTAAAGTTAGTAATTCATTTCATTAAATACGAATATTAAACGTTTGGAGTCGTAGGACATATGTTCTTCTCAATAACCAACAATTTCATAATACATAACTATAGTCATGGTTTAAAGTTAGTGCATAGGGTATACGGTAGATCACTCGTGGTTTAGAGTTTGGAGTCATAGGATATATGTTCTTCTCAATAACCGAATATAAAATTGACTCAACTTACATTCTTCACATAACATACGCTGTAGCTTATTCCAACAATTTCATAACATATAACTATAGTATAGGGTATAGTCGTATAGGGTCATGGTTTAGAGTTCATTGTTTGCATGTTTGGGTTATGGAATTATGGTTAAGGTTTGAGGTTAGTTTTAGGGTTAAGTACTTAATGTTGTGATTTAGGATAATGTATGGTTGATGGTTAAGGTTAGTTTTAGGTTTCAGATTTAAAATGGTGTTATAGGGTTAGGGTTTAGGGTTAGGGTTTGGGTTTCTTCATGCACCACAGGAAAACAGATTTTTAGACACGGGAACTTTTCCCGTACTTAGAAGTATACTAATAGTCACGGTAAAAGTTCCTGTAATTGATGGTATAGATCTAAACACGAGAATCAATTTAACAATTTTTATTTACCGTGACAAATCGTTAATCACGGTTAATTACCATGAACAATATCATAATTTAGTTTGAAAATTTTTACCAAAATTTAGGAGGGAGAATTTGGTTTGACTCCAAAATTCATTTCCTCCAAAACTTCCCACAAAAAAATTTCATTTGGGCTCCAAAAAAGTAGCCAACGAAAATTATCCCGCCCACCGTCTTTTCCCTAGTTTTTATTTATCGAATTATCGCCTTCGCGGTTTTGGTTCCTCTTTCCTCGACCTGATTGCCATCATAAAACAAAAGAAAAAGCTGAAGTCGACATAGTGAACAAGATAGACAGACATAAATCCCTTCTCTCTTCTTCTCTCTAAACGAACAACATAGGCAAAGACCTAATCTCTTCTTCCTCTTCCCCAGATCTGCACCGCTTCACCCAAATCCCTCCCCTCTGACTAAAAATCAATGTTCCCATTCCATATTATCTTCATCTTCAATCAGCTTCTTCCTCGACTCCATGGTTGAAAAATCACCATCACCCCCTTCCTCTGTGAGCGAGAAATCTTTATCGCGCTATCCATGGGGCTATCTCGGAACAAATTGAGGCAGAGTATGGCGCGATTCAAGCCCCAGGGAAAGGTCCACGACGAACCTAAATCTGTATTCGAAGGCGGAGGTGGAAGAAACTTTCGGCAATGGCGACTCTTGGCACAACTTATGGCGTAAATCGCAGGGGAGCTGGACAACGGAGGAGCTAGATGTTCCCAAGCGGCAACGAGCAAGGCTACCAGGAAAGGATCCTACGACCCAGACCTTCCCTTCAAATTCGTCACTTTTTTCAGATGAGGGGCAGAAAGGAGATCGCTAGGTTTGTGGAGATTAAATTTGGGATTTGGGGGTTCTGTTTTTGTTGGGGTTTTGGGATGGGTTCTAGAGATGGGATTTATGAGGGGTTTGTTTCTTGTATGTTGCAGATTATGGCGCCAGCAACGACGATATAATGAGGATTCTTTTGTGTGCATTGTTGTATCATTGCTGATGTTCTCATCTGACTGCTACAAGGTATAGAGCAGAAGAGTTTTTATTTTGAGTTTATGGATTGGTGTTTGGTTTGTGTTAACGTGGCTTGTGTTGATGAACTTGGAGTTTTCAGTAATGTAGGATTTTGTGTTTGAATTCTGTATCAGGGGGACGTGAGAAGTGTTTATTGTTATACTTACATCTTTCCATCAAGGCTTCAGGTTTTACTCTCAGCCTGATTTTCAATTTCGGATTCTAGGGACTGGATTCTCCACCAAAACTGAAGTCCTAGTTTACTCAATTCTAAGTACTCTTTAAGTTCAAACCTGGTGTCAGCTCAGCAACAACCATATTAAACAAGTCGTTTGAAGAACATGACAAGGAAGAGGTAGAGGAAAAAGAGGAGAGATAGAATGTTCCTCTATAGCAAAGGAAAAGGAGTTAATCTAAAGCCTGGTCTCTTTTCTCTCTACTTGGATTTAAATAGTTTGTGTTTTGTTCGTATCCTTTCTGTTTATTTCTCTTTACTATTTATATTGGTTACCTAGAATTAAAGATAAAAAAAATTTCTTTTACAGTCACAGATGGGTAACTGGACTAGTTGTAGGAGTTTGGTTCAAGCGATTGGAGAAGCTATCACGGGTTAGCAGAGTCAGTTCTTCTTAATTGAACAACTGGCCATTATATCAATGTAACTGAAGCAATTTGCAGTTGACAATTTGTATATGCGTAGGAAGTAGTGGTAGTTTTAAGTGGTGTGCTCATCTAATGAAGCCTAATTGCTAGGTTGCTGTGCATTATAATCAAACCAGCCATCCCGACGTTGGTATGAATGGGGAACTAATTCATGATCTACTGCTGATGCAGCAAGGGATAGTACTTCAGTGGTTCTGCTGTATATGGTTTGTATATGGTTTATTTATGGTACAACTTCTTGGGACTGGACAAGTGTTCGTAGTGCTTTGTATATGGTTTATTTATTTCTGATTGCTTCAGCAGTTGAGTTTGCTAGAGAGAGTAGTAACTTTGAACTCCTTTGAATTATGTTTCTAGGGTGGGAAAGGCTTGAAGGTCTTAAATGCTTTGAGCGGACAATTGGAAGCAAAATTATGGAGTCCATGAAGAAAAGGCAAACCTGGAAACTATAGTTACAGACACTACGGGAAAAGTGGCTTTACGCAACATTTGTCTAGCAACACTTTTAAAAGGCGTTACATAAAATAAATATAGGCAACACTTTTATTTTGTGTCGTATAATATATATCTTATGCAACACAAATCAGTAGCACGATAATTTTTGTTGCATATTGTTAATAATATGCAACACTTGTACAATAAAATAACTTGGGTTACCTATTCTTATATTTTAGACAACACTTAATAAAAAAATGTTACAACTTGTACCAATTTTATATTATATTAACAATTGAAGAACAAAATGTAAAAGAACCCCCACTGCAAAGTAACGAACCTCTTTATACCTTTATTACTAGTCAATACTATTAACCC